CAGCTGATAAGAGGCACATAAATCACCAGAGACACTCCTGAGAGCTTTTTAAGATTTTAAGCAAATCTTCTTCCCAGGAGGGTCCCAGACCTGTCCCCTGAGCATTCCAGAATTGGCACTGGCACCCCTTCAACACCCACTGGGCATCAGCAGGGTTGGCACAGAACAGAGGAGGAAAATGGACATTTTTACTGGCTGGGGCAGTCATGTTACAGGGAAGAAGTTTTGTGTGTGTCTGTGCACTGCTGGCAGGGGGAGATCTGTGTTTTGGCTCTGTGTGTGGTGGTTGCTTGGAAAAGTCTGGAGGTAAACCCAGCAGGATCTGAATTTTCAAAGCTGGAGCGAGTGTCTTTAGTAAAATCTCACCCCAACAATAAAAATCTGTCCAAGATTAGTGGGATAAAACTCCTGCTGTATTCCCTTTTCCTTTTTTCTTGCTTTTCTCCTGTTAGTTTTGTTTTTCTCCCCTGCTCTGCTGGTGTGTGAGTTTACCCTCAGCCTGCAGCTGCTGGCTGTGCTGTTGGGAGCACTGTGCCTGGCAATTTGGGATGAGGAATGGCCCCTGGGAGTGGGGAATATTCTGAGGGATATCCCACATGAGCTCTCAATGTACTTGGTCACATATTTTCCATGGCAAACAGGCGATAGGGAAAGAATGTGGGAGAAAGTTGCTAGCAGATGTTGCCAGTCCTTCCTGAAAGCTGAAGGTTAAAGGTGTGTGGCTCCCCTGGGTAATGAGCTTTATCAGGGAGCTGGGGTCAGTGTGGGAGCTCCCCTGCTCACAGCTCCTGCCTCCTGCAGCTCAGCTCTTCTCTCTCTGGCAGCTGAGATTTCCTTCCCTTCATCTTTGACTTACCGGGGTTATTTTTTACAAATGATCTCAAAGCTTTTCTTAAAGTAGTTCTTAAAACCTTATAAATATATGGGGAAACCATTAGGGGCTGTTTTCGCTGTTTCCCTCCCCACCCTTTTTTTTTTTCTTTGGTTTTTAGTTTTAATCCCTTGCACTTACACTGAGTTAAAATTCTTCCTTGACATCAAAATTAGAAAAGCTTCGTGGCAGGAACTCTAGCACTGGCAGCACATAGTTCTTTAATCTGGCATTTGCTGAAAACAGTGCCTTTTTATCTGGCAATATGAGACTAAAAGCTTACAGAAGAATGGTCCTGTTGTGTTTATTAAGACTGGTTACACATGACCAAACAAATCTTGTTAAAAGATTTATCTGTCTAGCTTAAATAAGAAAAAGAAGCTCTTCTCCATATTTTTAGTTGCCCTGCATTTTTAGATGCCTTCCTGTTACAGTCTTGTAGCATTTCTGCTGGACTTGCTTTCACATTTTCTTTAAAACCTGACTCTTTAATTCTGGTTAAGAGGTTTAAGTACTTAATGTGCAGAGTGGTGCTATATGTGCCTTTTGCTCTGACAGGGGGTTCCAGGTGTACAGACAAAATAACTTGTGGGAGCAGCAATCTCCTCCTCTCCATGCTGGGGTTGCAGTGTGAGAAGGGTTTTATGGCTGTAAAAAAGGTTCAAACTTTAATTTGAACTAGATTCAAAATGCTGGGGGAAGGTGGAAACAAAACCAGGTGAATATGGGGAAATGATCAGTTGAAAATAATGATTATGAACTTCTGCACTCCAGATTAGATGAAGTTAAAGGTTAAATTGTGCCTGCTGGTTTTCTCTAAAATCCTGGTGGGAGGTTCTCATTTCCTCATCACTGGAGGCCTGAGCATTTTAATAAGAGCACCAACATTGGAATATGATGGGAAGTTGTCAGGATCTGCATTTTCTGCTACAAAGCAGAGAACAGGAGACTTTAGTGAGTGACTGCAAACACATTTTTGGCTGATGTTTGATCTCTAAACAATTAAAGATAAAAAAGACCTTGCAAGTCCGATAACAGAGTGGGTGGAGATAAAGAAAGTTATCCCAGAGTGCATGTAATAACCTTACTTGGAGAAATGGCCATATCCTGAGGCTCGAGTTAAAAAATAACAACAAGAAGGTCTTGGAGTGTGATTGCAGTGAAGTTGAGGTTTTTCCTTGGGTGTTTCAACTTGAATTGAGCAAAAAACACGGGGGCTCTTCTCCCACGCAGCTGCTGTAAGGTGATTTTTCCCCTTTTAGCTGACGTGGCTCCTTCTGGGGTGAATTCCCCGTGGAAGGAGCAGAGATCTCCTGTGGAAGGCAGCTCTGCCCTCCAGCCCGTGTTTGCTGCAGCAGAATGACAGAAGCAGCTGCTTTGCTGCTTTGCTGGGGTTTGGTGCAGGCTGCAGGAGGAGCAGAAACCCAGGGCAGGGAGTTGACCAGAACCACTGCAGGTGTGCAGTGAGCCTGCCCTGCTGCAGGCTCTGTGTGATTGCCTCGGGGAGCAGAGAAAAGGCTCCCCAGGTTCCGTGGGGGAGGTTTTTGGGTGCTGTGTTCATTCATAATCGCCCAGAGAGCGGCACAAGCGCTGAGCCCACTCAGCAGCTGTGACTGGTGAGTGATGTTGAGTCAGCAGATGAGTTTTCACAGGGCTCACGTGTTGGTGAAGAGTGAACAGGCTGCACACTGAATTTGTAGCAGCTTCCGTGGTGGGTGAAGAAAGAACGTGTGAGATGTGGTTTTTTCCCTGTTACAGCTACTCTGAACGTTGTGGAGCTGCTTTATTCTTAGACAGGAGTACTCAGTGCTTCATGGATGTTGGTTTAATCCTGCAAAATCTTTGAAGTTGAGTATTCAGACTGAAATAGTCTTGGAAATGTGATATATTTACGTAGGAAAGCAATGGCTGTGAAAATTATTTTTTTATTGGATCCCCTGAAATGGGAGCTGGGAGGAAAGTGGCCATTTGAGTGGAAATTTCACAGCTGAACAGAGCAAAGTGTGGCACACACTGATTCTTGCACAGCCCTCCAGTAAATGAAATAATCTGAACAAGGTGTTTGTTTATTCAGTGTTACTCCTCTATGCAGAACGGTGTTGTGCAAAGAAGATAAACCCAGGGAAAAAAATCCCCCTAATAACTGGACTTGTAATAAAAACACTGAAGTACTTTGTTTGAATCTAATCTGAGGGAGCAGCGAGGATTTAGCCCTGCAGCTCTGATGGCAGAATTGGGTTTCCAGCACTGCAGGCAGCCCTGGCTGCTCCTGGCAGGATGGGCACGGCACAGCAGGGCCAGGGCAGCTGCTTTGGGGTGAGTCTGTGTTTGATGTGGCCTCAGCACAGACTGAGTGCTTCACTTCAGCTCTACTTTCAAATGGAAGTTTAGCAAGGAGCAGCCTGCACTGCAATTGTGGCTTTCTCAGAAATGTTTGCACAGCTCTGGCTCTTTGAGACTTGGACAATGAAAGGTGGAGCTCAGAGTGTTTCAGATGGAGGTAGAATAAATATGGATGCATCATCTGTCAGTTACTAATTAACTTTTTTATTTGTCCTTAAGACAGGAACTTGAAAATCATTTTGTCTTTAAGTTTAGAGGTGTGGGGTGGTTGGTACCTTCTTAGCTTTTCATCTTAAGGTTTCAAGGAGAAGCCCTGGAGCTGGCCAGGTTTCAAACCTGCTCTTTCTGTCTTTTACTGCCCATCCTCAATAATGAAGTGGTGACTGATGGGGATTTTTTAAATTGGAAACGATGTAAAGACAAAAAAGAATGGACATTTTGCACTTGGCAGTCACAGGAAGGTGCTTGTGCTGCAGCTGTGCTAGAGGACAGCAATAAAAACCCCCAAGTTTTGCTGCTGGGGAATACCTCTGGAAATGTAAGAATCATTGGTAAGAATGTAAGAATCCCTTGGAGCTGTGAGCAGTCCCTGGCAGCTGCAAGCTTCGCTGTGGTGTTCAGTGCAGCTCCATCACATCCCCTGAGGATCCTGGCAGCTTGGGAGGGGCACACAGCATCATCTCCCTGCCTGAGAGAGCCCAGCACAGCCTCAGCTGCAGCACAAGCAGCAATTTGTCTCTGCTGCTGCTCCCTGCTGCGACAGCCACAGGAATATTGAGGGTTTGTGTAGGGCTGAAGGAATTTCCAGTGCACGGGATCAGGGACTCCTCAGCTGACTCCTCAAAAATAAACCAGCCTTTTTCCTTCTCTGATGTGGTTTCAAAAGCTTAATGCATGAGCAATCAATGCTCTCGGGTCCCTGCCTTTGAGACATTCTACACCGTGGGCTAATTTTGAGTTGCACCATGTAGCAGCTTCCTGGAAACTTAGGAATTGGATGTGGGCAGATTCAGCATTATTGGTGAATTAGCGGGGGAAAAAAAAGGATAATTTATCTTTGTGAGTTGAATGCCTCCTTTTTGAAATATCCTCCTTTCATTGAAAGCCCAGTTTTTATGGAAAAAGCAGATTTCATTAGTGCAGTGGTAACTACTGTGGTTTGGTTTGGTTTGGTTTCAATTAATTAATTCCTGTAATCTGTGGATTACAGGTTAGCTCTATTTTTGGAAAAGCAGGGTAGGGGCAGGACTTGCTAACAGATTGCCCTGGAAGTGGCAGATGGCATCCCTTACCCTGTACCAGCTTTGTAGGGCATGGTTTGTGAGTGGTGGTGAGATGTAAAACAATACAGCCATTTGCTGAGCTCCCTCATTTGCTTCCAGCTAAAAGCTGGACACTCTTCCTCTTTGCCCTTGTCCTTTCTGAAATGTTTTATGGGGTTTGTTTTTTGCACTCCCTGTTAGCTGCAGGTATAAAGGACACCCATTCCCAGTGAGCACTCCCCATCCAAGAAGTTATTGTGTGTCTGCAGGGAACTGAAGAATTTTTTTAAGGAGTCGAGGGATCGTTTTTGAGGATGGAGGTAGCTTCAAATATTTACAGACACTGAAGTTACCATTTCTGTGAAGCTTTCTAAAGGCTGCTTTGTATTTTACTGTTTGGGCTTTCCTGAATTGCTTTAGGATGTCGGATTTTATCGGGTTTTAATTTTTATCTTCAGGAATTGAAGGAATTTGGAATACTAACATGGGCTTTTCCCCTCTTTCTCTCCCCTCACCTCTTCAAGAACCTTTTTAAAACGCTGGGGTTGTTGGAGTGGTTGAATTTTTCCTGGCTTTGAGTGAGAAATTCAGAAGACTGAAGCCCAGGCTCACTGTCTACCTTTCACGGAGGCCCAGCCGTGAGAGGACAGAAGAAGGCACGTGGCGAATCATGACAGCAGACAAGGAGAAAGACAAAGACAAAGAGAAGGACAGGGACCGGGACCGGGACAAGGAGCGGGACAAGAGGGACAAGGCGAGGGAGAGCGAGAACTCGCGGCCCCGGCGCAGCTGCACCTTGGAGGGAGGCGCCAAGAACTACGCGGAGAGCGACCACAGCGAGGACGAGGACAATGACAACAACAGTGCCACCACCGAGGAGTCCACCAAGAAGAGCAAAAAGAAACCCCCCAAGAAGAAGTCCCGCTACGAGAGAACCGACAACGGCGAGATAACGTCCTTCATCACCGAGGACGACGTGGTGTACAGGCCTGGAGGTAAGAAACTCAGATTTGGTGTAAGAAACTGTGATTTGGTGTGAGAAACTCAGATTTGGTGTGAGAAACTCAGATTTGGTGTAAGAAACTCAGATTTGGTGTGAGAAACTCAGATTTGGTGTAAGAAACTCTGATTTGGTGTAAGAAACTCAGATTTGGTGTAAGAAACACAGATAAGAAATTCTGATTTGGTGTGAGAAACTCTGATTTGGTGTGAAAAACTCAGATTTGGTGTAAGAAACTCAGATTTGATGTAAGAAACTCAGATTTGATGTAAGAAACTCAGATTTGGTGTAAGAAACTGAGATTTGGTGTAAGAAACTGTGATTTGGTGTGAGAAACTGTGATTTGGTGTGAGAAACTGAGATTTGGTGTGAGAAACTGAGATTTGGTGTTTCCTCTGGAATTCCCGTGGCCCAGAGCTGCCAGGCAGGGCTGCAGCCAGCAGTTGGAATTATCCCTGGCCTGGGGGAGGCTGCAGCCTTTCCCTTGCAGACAAACGTGGGTGTGCATGGGAAGCTTCTGGCTGTATCTTGTGGTATCTGACTTGTGGGAATGAACTTAGGTCCCCTTTGGAAAAGAGCCACCCTCTGCTTTCTCCTGCATTAATTATCTGTGTATCATATGGAATCTCTGTCCCTGGGAGTTTGGGAACTAAATTGGATGATGCATTAAACGCTTCACTCCCACTTTGGAGCTGGGGGGATGTGGAGACATCTTCAGCCTTTCTGGCAAGCTTTTCTGGGAATGTCTGATTGCCGTGGAGAGCTGTGCTCCTGTGCTGTGTGTAATGTGACCCAGATGACTGAGGCTCTCATCTGCTGCTGTGCTGGTTTCACCCCTGGTTAACGGCTGTGCCTGTGCCCAGCTGCTGGGCAGAGCAGGGCTGGAACCAGGGATGTTTTTGGGGACAGCAGCAGGAGCTTGCAGTGTGCTCTGGGTGCCTTGGATGTGCCTCAATTACTGCCAAGTTCACAGGGAGATTTAGGGTCTCACGTAAGGTTGCAAGGTCTAACCTGTGGCTGCTGCCAGGGGATGCTTTCCTCGAGCTGCACTTGAAATGAGATTACCCAGCTTCCTTTTTTGAGTGCAAACTTGCCGGTGTCTGCACAGCACTTGGAGTGGTTCCCCACGAGCTGTGGCTGTGTTTGGCTGCTCTGCTGGCAATTGGAGAGCCCTGGCAGGTTCATGTTCCCCTAGTGCAGAGCTGCAGGGCTGAAACAGAGCTGGGAGCGGGGAGCAGAGAGGTGACATCCCTCTGGGCTGTCCCTGAGGTGCTGCACAGCTCAGGTGGGAGTGCCTGGGGTGCTGCATCCAGCTCTGGGGGCTGTCAGGGCTCAGGCTGTGCCTGGGGACAGCTGGGACGTGCTGCTCCCATCCTCCTCCTTCCACGGGAGCCTTCAGCAGTCTGTCTTCCACTTAACTCTGCCAACATCAGTCAGAACAGCTTCTCTCCTGAAATGCTTCAGCTTCCATTTCGGCTCATTTCATCCATCACTGCAAAGGAGCTGTTTTTGCCGTGGTGTCAGGGCTCGTGGCTGAGTAATATTTGTTTTTGAGCAACTGGGAGCCTGCGGAAGCGTCAGCATTGGTGGCAATCTGATTTTCAGTGTCAGAGGATGAAAAATAATTCAGAATCTGTTGAGAACAGCTGTTGTGTGGGCCCAGGAGTACAATGTGATACACTGGCTTTATTGCAAAAAGAGTTTGCTTAAAATCAAGATGGGAAATCAGTTTGTGGTCTCAGTTTTATCCTGTAGTAGGATGGAGCAGTGGCTCTGGCTGATCTGGAGGAGTTTGTCCAGGCAAAGCCCTCCTATTTGTGATAATGGGGATATTTTGTAACTCTTCTGCAACCCCTGCTTATTAAACTGTACATTTTGTTGATAGTAATCAGTGTAAGAGACATCCCTGGCACTGAAACTTTTCTGTTGTGTTGGCTCTTTGTGCTGTTGTAAAACTTGCCTTGGAAACTGCTGAGAGTGATGAGAACAAACATGAGCTCAGCTCAGGAGGGACCTGAGCACGGCTGAAACCTTAACTGGATATACCCATTTTTAAATTTGATTTTAAAGGTAATTTCTTATCAGGAGCGAGATCTTGAGTACACATCCCTGTGCTGGAGGGGTTCTAAAGCAATGTTAGCATCCATTACAGAAGGAGCTCTTCCAGCTCTTTACAGGGAGATGCATTTGTGGCAAAGGGTGCAAATTACATAAATTTTAAGAGGGATTAGAGAGTTTAAATTAATGAGACACAGCAAGGATTAGAAAGATGAAAATTAAAGGTGTGTGCAGAAGGGATACTGTCTTCAGCTTACATCCTCTGGGCTTTAAGGACAGGAAATCCTCTCCAATCATTTGATTCTTTCTCTTAAGTGCTCTCATCTGATAGAGAGGAAAGTTCAAGGTCTGCATTTCTTGGTTAAAATCTCATTCTGTGTTTACCCCATTGCTGTAGAGTACTTAATCCAGCACTTAATTCTGCTTTTTCTCCTGTGCTGAGCTCAGCAGCTGTATTGGAGTAATAGCAAATAAACTGTAAATAAACAGATAATCAAGATCATTGAATTTTTTTCGAGTGAAAGGTTTCACTGTATTGTTACCATGTAAATACTGCTCTTATTAATTTGCATAGATATAATGAATGCGTGCACAGCTTTAAATAATGTATTAAAAAGAATTGAGTAGGGCTTAGACAACACTGTGCAATTAATCTTCTCTACTTTGCTGGAAATCACACAGGCCTATCCTAAAAGCTTGTTGGCCCAGTTCCCCATCTGTCCTCTCAGTTTCCACAACCTCCCTCCTGTTTCCTTCCAAATCTAATCTCTGGGGTTTTCCTTCTTTTTTTTTTTTCCCCTCACAGTTCTCAACTTGCTGTTGTCAGAAAGCCTGTTGGAGTAGGATTAATTTTTGTTGCACAGTTTATATTCAAATTTGCTTTAGGCTTTCTTAGCATAGGGAGATGACAATGAAAGAGAGTTAACACCGAGAGTTATTTTTTCCCCTCCTCTTGGATTTCAGTTAGATCATTTAATGCTGATTTTCCTTCCATTTCCCATGCAGACTGATCCCCTCTATGCCACTGGCTTTTGCCAAAATCCAGCTCAGGAAGGGCTATTAGTGAATTAAAGCCACGGAATGGGGATTTTGGTGCTGCTGTGGTGGCAGCTGCAGTGCTGGGTGAGAGCCCAGGCTGCTTTGGAGCCCGGGCAGAGCAGGTGACTGTCACCTGCAGATGGGGACAATAACGTTTGCTCTGTCTATGTAGAAACATTTAAAAGGATCTGCAGGAATTAAAAGGATTTAGGAGGATCTGTTTCTGCAGTGACATCAGTGGATGCACCAAGAGCCTGGCAGGGAGGTGAGGCTGGGTGAAACCCTGCCCTGCCCATCAGCAATCTGGGCAGTGCTGGGGGGCCAGGGGGACACACCAGAGAGCCACAGTGACAGCAAGGTCACATCTTGCACTTGGCCCCTGCTGTCTGCTGCTGTCTCATTTTTCAGCTGAGTGCTGGGTGAGCTGGGCAGCAGTTCCCAGTGGGCAGGACTGAGGTGTGGGACTGCAGGTGCTGAGAAAATTCTGAGAAAGAATCAGAATTCAATATAAAAATACACATAATACAAACAGGATTTCTTTCTATAAGCTTTGAAGTTCTGGCAAGTGTATTTTGGGCTGTTGAAGCTGGAAGGAGGAAAGTTAATTATTTTTTGGGAGGTTTTAGTTTTAATTTATTGCTTGGGCAAAAGGAAGAAGCACAAGGAAAGTATTCTTTCAGCTTTATGTTGTAATTTTAGGAGTTCTTTGGCCATCCTGCTGTTCTGTGTGGGTTGAGCAGGTTTGTGATGTGTTTTTGCACGTGTGGTCTTCTCCTCCCGCAGAAGTTGATAGGAGGATGTGTTCTAGGAGGGTGCAATCTGTATTTTCCTCCTCTTTTGAAAGTCTGTTACCATTGTGATAGGAGATTGTTGAAATAATTCAGTGACAGACTTTCAGCTGCTGTAAACAGAGTAACCCTAGGAGCTGCACTGCTTCATGTGGTTGTAAAAGTCCCCTCATTTTTCACACTTCCACCACTGTTTTCAACTTTTCTGTGTGTGTGAATAGTTGTGAGGAAAACTTAGCAATCTTTTTTTTTAGAAAACATTATCTTCAAAACTTTTGTTTCAATGGAAACAAATGCATTCTTTGCCCATTCCTCCTTAATTAAAAGAAAAAAACATTAGAGAGAAGGCCTGAATTAGTCTCAAAACACGTCAGGAGAGTTAAGAAAACACATGAAAACATCTCAGGAGGGTTTTCTTTGAGGCTGATGGAAGTGTGCAGAGTGGAGCAGCCTGCAGCTGGAGCTCTGTGCTGGGCACATCCCAGCCTGCACTCAGTCACTTGGGAGAAGGTTGGATTTTAGGGATCAGGTGAGCAAAACTGAGTGTGGAAAATAATTGAGGAGCCCAGGTCAGCCCCTGATGCACAGAGATAACTTTTGTCCCTGCTGTCAATGCACACAGGAGCCAGACTGGGTTAAAAAAAGACATTTCCTGAGTTCCCATTTCCTTTAGCAGGGGAGGCACTGCTGTGTCCAGGGCAGCTGCTGGGGCCTGACAGATGGAGCCTTAAGTGCAGATCATGGTTGAGCTGGCAAATGGATTCCTCTGGCTTTGTTTGGCTCTGGATAAATCCCAGGGAGCAGCTCAGAGGGGCTGGGGTGCCCAGGGCTGGGTGTGGGGCTCTGGGGATGTGGATTCACCATCAGTTTTCCATCCTGACCTCATCATTAGGCTTGAAAATGAAGAAGAAAGGTGCCACACAAGTGCTGAAACAAAATAAATCCACTTGTGCTGCAGGCTCAGCTTCACAGCTGCTGCACTGATCTGTTCCCTAGGAAGGGCTTCTCAGAGCTATTTACAAATAGGAAAATACCTTTCCTTTCAGAAGATGCTTGCTATTGTGAAACATGAAGGTCGTTTTTCAGTGGGTGATGGCAGGTGGCTCTCAGCTGGCAGGCAGTGAATGGGGGTCCCTCAGGAGTGTCAGGGTTTGGGGCTGCACTGCTGGGAGCACAGCATCCTGTGCAAATCCTGCTCACTCAGGTGGCACATTGCATTTTCCTCTTCTGGACAGGTCTCTGCTCAGGGCTGCAGCTGATGGGAGGGGCTGCTGCTCTCTGATCAGGAAGGTGAAGTGATGGGTCAGTAGGGAAATGGGAATGGCTCTCATTTTTCTACTTGAGGATACACAAATAAAGCCCATCCATGTGTTGATGAGGTATTGGGGTGTGTTGCACTTTAATTATCATAAGGGCAGCAAAGGGAGAGGAGTTAAGCAAGCACTTGGTGTTTGTGATGGGCTTGGGAATAGCTGAGTTTTCCCAGCTCTCTTGGTGTGCTTGAGACTGTTTGAAATAGATCAAGTGAGGTCATGTAGTGATGTGGTGAATTTTTGTTGCTGTTTGTCCTTTTGTCTCCCACATTGCTCACTAAGAGCTTTGGGAGGCAGGTGGCTGCAGGAGAATTTGTGAAATATCACTGAGAAGTGCTGGGGGCAAGTGTGGCACCTCCAGAAGTTTCTGTGGCCCCAAAAGGCCAGAAAAAGCCTGTTAGAAATGGCCTGTGTGCAGCAAAGCTAATCTGGTGCTAGAGGAGGAGCTTCAGACTAACTGGTTATTCAATTAATTTCTTTCATCAGCCTGGATTCTCATTCCCATCCCTCCTCCCTTTTCATGTGTTTAATTGAAAAAACCACCTGCAAGGCAGGAGGAGCCCCTGGCACGGGGTAGGGCCCGAGCAGCCGCCGTGGCTTCGCTTGCAGCGTGGCATTTCTGGTGGCACAGCCTTGCTTTGTACCAGTCTCTTAACGAAGGATGTGTGAATGCACCTTCCAAGGGGAACTGTGCAGTGTTGTGGACATGCTTGAAAAGTGCAGGAAAATAATTGGTGTGGGAAATGTTGTAGCTGGGGGCCTGAGCCGCAGAACAGTTGCTTTTATGAAATTGGGAACTGCAGAGTACAATTAGCTGTCATTAATTTTGTTGAATAGAAATATGTTCCATTTATTGTACAATCAGGAGCCAGGCTTGAATGAGTTTAAATAGATGAAATCTAAATTATACTGACAGTCCATTAAACAGCAGCAAAACCCCTTAAAGAAAATGGATTCACTATGATACCGGTTTATAATAAAATCATTTGCCAAATAAGAACTATAGTCCAGGCACTGGGAATACTCCTGTGAGCTTCACATGAACACAGTAAATTGGTTGAACCATTTATTGCAGAGCAGGGCTCGAGCTCGTCGTTCCCTGACAAGGAGCCAGCAGCGTTGCTGGAAATCTGCTCAGCAGGAAGTGCCACTGGAAGATCAGACTGGCAATTTGTTTGTTGTCAGCCATATGGGGGAAGAGAGGCGAGTGCTGGGCTCCTACCTGTCCCTGGGAATATTGCTGGAGTCCAGAGCTCGTGTGTGGCATTCCCAGGGCCCTCCTCGCCGCGTTGCTGTGTTTGAGCCCCCATGCCAAAGGTATTGCTGCTGCTGCTGCAGCTTTGTCTCCGTGCCTGACCTTTGTGTGCAAGGCTTTGGCAATTTTCCTGCTCTTGGAACGGGGGCAAGTTCAGATTTCAGCCTTTAGAACTCGCTGAATGCTGCAAACATTGATTCTGATCCTTTGGAAGGCAGTATCTCTGACTGCTGCTGCTCCCAATCTCATTTAACTGTTCTGGGGGGCTGGCATTTAACTTCTTTAACTTCTTTAACTTCACTTGTGGCACCTGAGCCACGGGGAGGGTCCTGGGCTTCCCCTGGATCTGGCAGGAGAAGGATCCAGGATCGCCTGCTCAGGCTTCCTCAGGGCTCTGGGACCACTGAGCCTCTTCATCTCAGGCACCAGGATGGAGGAACAGAAATATTCCTTAATAATAATAATAAATAATAATAAATATTCAGGAGTGGAAATATCCTTCAGTTGCTGGCCCCCAGCTCAGGTTTGGGGTTTGTACGTGTCTGTACTCACATGCAAGGCTGGTGGAAGCTGCTGGGGAGGGATTGTAGATGGCTCCTTCAGAAAGGCTTTCAAGGAATATCCTCCCTGTGGAAGTGCAGAGCTGCACAGAGAGCCTACAGCTTTGTTCCTGGGATGATGGAAGTGTTGAATCATTAGGTGAAACATGAAAGGGTTCTAATTGTGAAGATGGTTACTACAAAAACTGCGGCCTTTGAGCTGCTGAAGGTTCAGAAAATGGAGCTGGTTGAGCTGTTTTTCCAAGAGAATTTTTTATGTCCATGCATCGAAGCTCTAATTTTAAAAGCAGCTTTTAGTGTGGGAATATCAATGTAACCCTTCAGAACTAGGGCACATCTGGTGAATATCACAAGCCCAAAGGCAGAATGACTCTGTACCATGTGTCAGGGAAATGCTTCATCTCCAGTGGGACGTTTTACACGAAAGAGGGAAGTGAGCTCGTGGCTGCAGACAGGCAGGGAATCGCTGGCTGTGCAGGGCACTCAGCATTTCCTCACTCTGTTTTGCAAGGGTTATGGAAAACCCTTCATATGTTTTATTTTTGGGGGTTTTTTTTTGTTAATTTCATTTTCTTTTGGAGCTTTTGCTGCTTTGCCAGTGCTGAACTCTGTGATTTAACATCAACATCAGATGTTGAACTTGTCCCAGGTGGTGCTTGTGTTACCTGTGGGGAAAGCCAGAGGGGGAATTTGCAGCACACCCATTTCCCCATCCCTGCTGGCTTCAGCCTTGCTCTTGTTTCCTGGCAAATGGGGAACATGTGAGGACGGCTGGTCTTCAGTAAAAGAAATTAAATTGCACTTGAGTGAAGTTGTGTAAGCCTATGCAGAAGCTCTGTGCAGCCAGAGAGAGCTGAAATTGTTCCACAAGTGTGTGGTCAGTGGAAAAAAGGGTGCAGTGGCACATTCCAGTGTGCTGAGGGTGAGGAAGGGGCTATTCTCTAGCTTTCAGTGGCATAAATCTTATCTCTGCAGGTTTGTTGCATATTAGAAAAATGCTAATGCAGTTTTCCTTTTCTTGGGTCCCCATGGAAGCTGTTTGGATTTCTGGTAAATGGAAGGAATTGCTCTTTATGGCGAGTTTTGAGTGGCTGATGAGCGTGCATCCATAAATATTCTCCTTTTCTGGGGGGGCACCTTTTGAGTTTCTATCATCCACAGCATTGCTGTGCACCTGGATAAACTTGTTTTTCTTATCTGCCTGGCCTCTCTTGCTTTGGAGACTCGTAACTGGATGTCATTATTGTTTTAGGGCTTGGCAGGCAGCCAGCAGTGCCTCCCTCAAATGCAGCCCAGAGCCCGTCTTTATCCATGGGAGATGCCACATCCCTCACTCTGTGCCAGCCATCTCACAGGGGTGCTGGGCTGTTTGTTCTGCCTGCTGCCTGATAAAACTCTGCAAAATGAGGCTTGCACAGCCGAGATAGCGAGGGGGGAAAACCCAAAAAGGTCTCGTGAGTTGTGGTGTTGTGTGTGTCTGAAATGGGGCAGCTTTCCACACCCCAGTGATCCCGAGGGCTCCTGCAGGGGAGCAGGATGGGAATGTTGGCTTCAGCTGCCATCCTGGGCTGCTCCAAATGCTCTGATCAGCCCAGGAAATCGGGGAGAACCAGGGCTGGGGGAATACTTGGATGAGCTGAAATTGCTGGAGCTGCCCAGTCAGCTGGGTTGAACTGAACTCTGCTTTGAAACGTGTCTTGTAAAACTTGTTTTCTGTAGAAATCCAAAAAAGCTCCTGGAAGATCTCTCCTGTGTTTTGAACAGCAGCTCCTTATCTGTGTGAGAGAGGGGACACCAGGACTGTCCTTTAAATATTTGCTTGGCTTTGGGGCTGGCATCTTTGTGTTTAGCAAGCTGTGTGAGTTTGCCGAGTTGCAAGGTCAGGATCATTAATCAGGCACTTCTCTCCCATCCCTGCCGTGTTTTCATTCCGAGGGCACTGCTTTTGTTGTAGTTATTGCCAAGACTGTTTTGAATACAACAGACCTTATGTTCCAGCAGCCTTGGAGAGCCCAGTTGTCAAAAGCAAACAAAAATAATTACTGTGTTTCTGTCTTGTCAAATGTAATTCGAGAAAGCGCAGGCCTTCCCTGAGGTAAATCTAATTTAAGGTTGCTGTGTTTCATCTGTGATTGGTTGCCTTGGTTTTCTTCACAATTAGAAGAGAAAATATGTTAGTGCTCGGTTCTTAATGGCAAGCTGACCATGAAAAATCTGATTACTTTCCTCTCTTATTTTGGTCTGGTTCATAGGCTGTGACCTGGTCATTGTTATTAACTCAATCCAGAGTGGTCTTTAAATTCCTTTCTTTTTGTTTTTCTAGCAAAATGTCTATTCAAATCAAAGTTAATTTTTATGCCGTTAATTCCCTTATTTATCATCATAAATAGTTTCTATTTTCAGATCACACTCAGAATAAATTACACAATATGCAAATGAAATGATGGTTCTTTCAAAGTTTAAGCTGTATTTGAATTTATCCTGTTTTTATGTTCTTTCTTGGAGGCACAGAAGTTAATGCCCATTATTCTAAAATCTTGTGTTTTTAAAGATTGCGTTTATATCGAAAGTCGCCGGCCGAACACGCCCTATTTCATCTGCAGCATTCAAGACTTCAAACTGGTAAGGAACATTTTCACATCTCCTCCTTCCCTGCCCCAGTCTCCAGAGGGGGGAATATTTCTTAGCCTGGATCCCTTCTGTGGCTCCTCCTGAGTGAATCTTTACCCTCTGAAACAGGAGCTGGTTTTTATCAAAGCCCAGCTCTGTCCTTGGTGCAGCCTCAGTTCACTGGGGGAGTTCAGTTTGTGATCCCTGTCGTGTTGAGCTGAGCAGAAATGTGAACTTTGAGTTGAGTCTTGTCAGGAAATTGTGGCTCAGGGGGTTAAATTTTTCCTGGGAAGTGAAATTTGCCTTCTCCAGCACAGCTCTGGGATGAGGGCTGGCTTGTGGCAGGCTCTGCATCTCAGCTGACCGTGGGCTGAAGGGACACCAGACCAAGGTGGCCAGTTTAATCGGGAAAAATAGAAAATTACCCTTAAGTACCTGTTAGCACTTCATTCTTTACCAGGGAAAAGTGCAGGGCCTGAGCAAGAGCAAAGCAGAGCTGTGTTTGCCCCTGTCTGACCCCACGCTCTTCCCCCCTTGCTGCTGCTGGGTCACAGGCGGGGCACAGGGGCTCCTCCAGCAGAGTTCTGTGAGCAGGAGCTTTGGGAACTTCTGGGAATCTGTTCCTGTTGCTCATTATTGCTTTATTGAAGTCCTGAGCACATAATAAACTCTCCTTATCAATGTATTGTCCACAGAGAGATCACCACAGGCTGTTGCTATTAGAATAATTCCTTCCTTCCTTCCTTCCTTCCTTCCTTCCTTCCTTCCTTCCTTCCTTCCTTCCTTCCTTCCTTCCTTCCTGCCTGCCTGCCTTCCTGCCTGCCTGCCTGCCTGCCTGCCTGCCTGCCTGCCTGCCNTTCCTGCCTTCCTGCCTGCCTTCCTGCCTTCCTGCCTTCCTGCCTTCCTTCCTGCCTTCCTTCCTTCCTTCCTTCCTTCCTTCCTTCCTTCCTTCCTGCCTTCCTGCCTTCCTTCCTGCCTTCCTTCCTGCCTTCCTGCCTTCCTGCCTGCCTGCCTTCCTGCCTTCCTGCCTGCCTGCCTGCCTGCCTGCCTGCCTTCCTGCCTGCCTTCCTGCCTGCCTTCCTGCCTGCCTTCCTGCCTTCCTCGCCTTCCTCTCCTTCCTTCCTCTCCTTCCCTCCCTCCTTTACTTCCTTTCCTTCCCTTCCCCTGTTATTCTGTGAGCTCCAGGGGAGTGTGGAGATTTGCCATGAGAGCTGCTGGCAATTGTGCATAATTTTTGACATGGAAACAGTGTCTCTGTTCTATGTTTCCTTTTGCCTGCTCAGAGTTCTCGAATTTCTCTGTTAATTTAATTTTTCTTACTGACATAATGCATAAAAGGAACTTGTATAAATGACAAAACCAAAAACTGCCTGATGCTGATTATACCAGCAAAAAATAAATCCCCAGTGTGTGTGTGGCTGTTGATTTTCCTGTTGGGGGAAAGGGAGGATGAGCAGTGGAAAGGACACTTGGTTTCTCTTCCAGTGTGAGATACCAACAGGAAAGCAGCCTTGTTTTGCCTTCAGCTAAATATGTCAAGTGAAGCAGCAAAGTTAAAGTCAACAGCTTTGAAATGTCGCCTACTAATTAAATCCATTAGCATGTTGGTTGTCACAAAATAAAAGTTTTTGGCTGAGTGTGTGAGCCTTACCTTATGCTTCCCCTGGTTCTAGGTGCACTCTGGGTACAGGAATTGATGAGGGTGTTTTACTGATAAAAACAGGAACAGAAACTGATATTTTCAAACAAAGGAGAGGGTGTTAAACGTGACACAGGCGATGCTGTGATGCACTCGAGCATCGTCCTGCAGGTGAGAGGTGCTGGGGGCTGTTCTGGGCTGGGACTAAAATACAGAGTTTAGATCTTCAAATGAGCTGGGGCTCCATTTGCTGTTTCCAGTAAGATCTGAAATCACAATGGGGTGATTTTATGTTTATTGCTGAACTAGGATCTGGTTCTGAGAAGTCTGGCAGTTTGTCTGGTTTGGCACTGTGCATCTCTGGAGTGCCTGAGGAGTGCCAGTGCTGCAGCAGCAGGTGTTAAATATCATTTCAGAGCAGATTCGTGCTCCCTCAGCCTGGTGACTTGGAGAAAGCAGCACTTGTGGCTCAGCGCTCCTGGCAGGTGAAGTGCTGTTCTGTGATGCATCACTTCATCCTTCCATCACAGCTTTCTCTTGACATTAGGATGAATCAGTCCTATTAAAAATTATATGAGAGGAGCAGCTCTTTTCCTTTCCTGGAGAGCAGTTGCAAGTCCTCCTCATGGGGGAGCTTTGCTCGCTGCTGGTTTTCCTGGGAAATGTCTCTGTGCCATCCTGCCCTTGCTGCTGTGTGGCCCCAGGTGAGGCAGAGCTTGGTCCTTTCCCCTGGGCTGTGCTTGCTGTGTTGGGATGAGCTGAGCAGGGCAGGCAGAGCACCAGAGGTGGTTCCCAAGCTCCAAGGGCAGCTGCAGGAGCTCTCTGGGTTTGTTTTCTCAATCAAAAAAAGCAAATGATGCCTTAAGGGAGGCCACGTGAGGAGCTGTTAAATTATTTGATCAGTCTAGTTTAACTGTGTTGAAAACAGCTGTGGATAACGTTTTATGCTCTCGTTTTTACCATTTTTGTGGTCCCAGATCCCTCCAAGATTTCAGAGATACATGGAAATACCTTAGTGGAACTGAGAAGTGAAATATGACTGATGCCTTAGGGGCACTTGAGTTGTTGTGTCCTTTGTGCTCTGCCACTGCTCCAGAACTTCCTGCAGGATCAATAACATCCCCCAAATCACTTCCACGGGGTGTCTGTGGTCTCAGGGGTTTTGGGGAAGGAGCTGAAGGGCAGCAGCACTGAGGCTGTGACAGGAGAGCTGCTCTGCCATGTGGGTTGAGAAGTGCACTGAGGGATGCTGCAGCTGGAAGAGCACTTGGGAGAAGCTGGATTTGGGAGCAGTGTGAGGCTCCCAGAGCCTGCTGGGGTGAGCCCTGAGTGATGCTGCAGCTGGAAGAGCACTTGGGAGAAGCTGGATTTGGGAGCAGTGTGAGGCTCCCAGAGCCTGCTGGGGTGAGCCCTGAGTGCTGGGGGGGAGCAGCAGCTCTGGGGGGACAGAGCTGGCAGGTGTCCATGGGCAGTGGTTCCTGTGCATCCTGTCCTGCTCAGAGAAGGGACAGGGAAGCTGAGTGGTGCTGGGAGGGAGCAGCAGGTTCCCTGCTCTGGAAGGTTCAGCTGCCTGCCCCCAGCTTTGTGCCACTCTGGGTTTGCTCCTCTGGAAAAGCAGGATGCCCTTGGGTCACTGTTCCTCCCCAGAGCAGCTCTGTTGGGAAGGGAGGAATCAAAGATGTGAAACACAGAATAATGTTCCAGTAACTCCAACACTGTTTTATTGGTTGTGATGGTTTGGGTTTTGTTTGGAATTTTGCAGAACTCTGAGGAGTTCTCTGGGAATGCACTGGTTTATTTTTGCCTTCCATCACTGCAGGGTTTGAGTGTTGGCTGTCAAAAGTGCAGCTGCTTTTTCTTCTCCTCATGGAGAATGATGGGTGGCAGGTCAGGTGAGAAGGTGTGATATCCATAAATGCTTTTCTTTGTTTGCTTCACCAGTTTGAATTATTGAACTTAAAACATTTTAAAAGTGAAATTGCTGTTGTCTCTCAGAAGAGTATGAGATAGTTGTCTGCTTTTAAAAAAGGCACTAGATGATTTTTTTGTCCTACTGATCGGGTTATTTTGTGATGTCTGTGTCTCAGAACATTTTATTAATCTCTTTTTGGTGCTAATTCATTTTCTTTGGATTAATGCTATCCTCTTTCAGGATTCAAGACCAGATTATTCTTAAGGACTTTGATTAGGAACAAACTGTGGTGAAGCAATGATTAAATCTGAGTTTGCTCTGTTGCCTTACATGTTTTTATTGGTTATCAGCTCCTTCTCCTTCGTTGCTGATACTCAATATTTGCTCTCTGTCCTGAGCCAGTGCTTGGGTTCAAGTGGTCTCCTGGAAATCTGGAATATGCAAGGTCATGATTGGTTTTAAAGCAACTTTTCTAACCTTGTTTTTTCCTTGGGGGGCACCTCTTTCCCCAGTTTAACCCTGTGCTGTCCTGCTTGCAATCTCAGTTACTTTGAAAAGGAAACAGCAGAATTTCGTAGGGAAGCTGGGAGTGGAGAAAGCCTGAAAAGGGGCAGAGCAGTTTGGCTTTAATGCTTTCCTGGCATTGCCTTTGAACAGCTTTAAGGAGGAAAGTGGTGTTTCACAGAATGGTAAAAGTGGGATCATTAACATGGGATTCAGGCTTTGCTTACTGTGGCTTTTTTTGTTCCAGAACAATCTTACAGCTCGGGGTTTAAATTACACAGGCAAGTCAATAAAATGGAAGCAGTTAATGCTTCGGTGCATTAAAAAAACATAAGTTTCTCTGATTATTTTTTTTCTGTGAGAAAACGTTGAGGTTGTTTACATCAGGAATTGTCTCCTGGATGTCAATCTGCTGCTTTTCCCTTCATTCTGCAATAGCACCGGTGCATTTTTAACAATGCAGTTGTTCCCACAGCAGCCTGCTGCTGTCAGAAATCCACATTTCCTATTCATCAGGAAGTTAGGGAAGCATACTTCTCGTTCATTTTAATTTGGCACGAGTCAAACATTTTAAAAATCTACAGGCTTGACGAAGTATTCCTTAAATACTCTTTGGTGCTACAAATACCTTGATCAAAGCACAGGCAGCAGAGCAGGGCTGACTGAGCCATGTTTTAGTTGGCAGAGGAGGGGAAGTGAACTGGGAATTGTCTGCAGCTCTGAAAAGAGGAGCTGGGAATCAAATGTTGCTTCACCCCCACCCCAGTGTTAATTTTTCCCGAATTGATCCAATCTTCACTCATTTCATGTCCTTCAGCCTGGCTGCAGTTGCTTATCCTGTTATTGTGGGCTCTGAGCTGCAGCCTGAGCTCTGCTAAGAATTAATCAAACCTGGCCAAAATCACTTTGATCTCCTGAGTTTCTGGCACAAGAGCTGTATCTGGAATTTGTGGAGGA